GCAGAGGGGCTGGGGGACTGCGCGCCCAGTGCTCCGGCCGCGGCATTCCGGGAGCCGTCTGCGGGGGGCGCTGGAAAGCGCATAGGACTTGAACTAAGGAACAGAACTGGGACACCTAGCGTGGCCGAACAGCCCTTCCCGGGACGGCTTTCTTGGCAAGTTCCTCAGACAGCACCCCTCTCCCAGAACTATAAACGCCTCTCGAATTGGCAGATCGTCCCGTCCTGAACAACTTGGCCTGGCTGCGTTTACAGGCAAAGAGACAGCTTTGGTCCGCCTGGTAGGGGCAGCCAAGTGCGAACTAACACTGTCTGCTGAGTCCCGCTTGCTGCCAGACGTCAGGATTTAAGGAATCCCAAGTATGACTTACAGCTCATCTGTGAGCACAACAACCCGGGGGGTCGATAGAATTAATGCTGTTCTACAGACGGTGGTCATTAATGTTTGATTTCACTTAGCTTCAGGCATCAGGCCCAGCTTCCCCCTGCCAGGTGACCACCAAATTACAGGAGCCTGCCACCACCACCTCCTCTGTCCCCACCCTAAATCCAGCCATAGTGATGCTCTCATGTTGCTGTAATAATTTGTGCTGTCACCTGGCTAGATTTTATCCGGCGCTCCTAGAGGCCTTGTGGGAGCACAGCTGCCAGGCCTTTTACCTCTGCACCTGTTCTAGGGGTGAGGATGGGTTTGGGGGCCCCCGGAAGCTCTCTGGGAAGCTTTTAGCCTAAAAGGGCCAGGCTCCCACAAACACAGCTTCCGCTGCCCGATTCTGGGCTCATGTCAGCGCCACAAGGCCAATAACGTGTGTGCCCTCCTTGCCACCCCTGGATCTTGTCATCTGACAGCAGCCACAGTGGGCCTGGAGGGGGCTGGGTGGAGGGAAGAGGAAAGCAGGGCTGGCAATGACACACTCCATTTCACACGGTGAGGAAGTGGGGCAGGGAGGAGGCGGCAGCCAGGTGGGCCTGGGACACTCAGTCTGTGACCCTTGGGGTTACCAAGCAGATGGGGACAGCTGCCTGGCCCCAAGCCCGCCTCTGCCTATGCCTGTTAGGTACAGCACAGCCATGGGCAAGCAGGTCACCGAATCTCTCCTCGTCCTGTTCCCTCATCTACTAAACAGGGTGCCTGCAGCAGGAAGTGCCTGCCGTTGTTGGGGGGTTTCAAGGTAACAGCGGCAGCATGTGCTCGCTGAGTTTGGACTGCGCCAGGCCCTGGGAGGAGACTCCTCTGCTGAGCTGGACCAGGTGGGGTGCTTTGCAGGGAAGTAAACAGCAATGCCTGGCTCATAGCAACCAGTCAGGGACTGTTCCCCATCCTGATTACCGAAGTGACTAAGCCCAGAACCCGGGCCACCAGCTCCGCTCCCAGCCGAACACCTGGCTGGTGACAGCTAATAATGAATAAGTCGGTTAACGGAGAGGAGGGACTTCGGAGTTGGCAGTAGGGAGCTCCCCATCACTCGCAGTGTGCAGCACAAACCAGAGGAGGGATTCACACTGCAGCGGCGTTTCGTGTGCACAGCCCTGAGCTCTGGTAGGTGCACTGTGCTCTGGGTTTCCCCGGCCTATCAGCAGGAGGCTGGAGCGCAGGCTGACCAGGGCTGCCTGTGGTCCCAGACAAGATGCTGGGTGCCGGGATCCCAGGGTGAAGCGACACTGTCCCTGTCCTCTGAGGGCTCTGGCCTCTCAGGAGACAAATGCACATCCAGGTGGTCAAGAGCAGCAGGGGAGAAGAGCACAACGTGACAGCTGATGGCCTGGGAGACCAAGGACACCCAAGCTCAAGGACACCTGCTGTACACATCGCCGCGTAAGTCCCCCCTCTGGTCTTCCTCATCAGTCTTCTCTGACGTGCTTGCATGCTGCTAGGAACGGGGCACTCGCTGCCACCACAACAGCCTCTTCCGTGCTGGAAAACAGTACTTGGGGGCTGGGTAGAAGACAGAGCCTGTTCCTTGCCCCTGAAGCCTCTTGATCTCTTATTTCCTACAACTTCTCTACAGCAAGGCCAAGAACAGGCCTCACACTGCCACCTGGCCCTGAGCTTCTCTTCCCACCAGACACAGTGAGCAAGCTCGCCTCTCTGGATGCGTGCTGACCTCAAGGAGTCCTGGCTGTCTGCGGAGAAAGAACAGTAACAAGCCTGGCACGGTGGTGCACGGCTGTGAACCCAGCACTTGGGGAGGCCGAGGTAGGAGAGTTGCAAGTATGAGGCAAGTCTCAAAAAATATGAAGGGTTGGATGCAGCTCAGAGCCCAGGCCCTGGGTTTAATCTCCAGTGCCATTAAAAAAAAAAAGAAGAAGAAAGAAAAAGAACATTAACTAGAGGGCAAGGCAGAGGGCTGGAACGACAGCTGTGTGCCTGACTAGCTATGTGACCCTCCGCTGCTCCTGGAAAATGGAAAGAGAGAATACCTGCCTCTCGCAGCTTGTGAGTCAAGTGAGGTGATTGGGTAAAAGGCCTGGCAGATTCCTGTTATCACAAGCGGCTGCCGCCGCCGCCTGCCACTGCTTCTAAAAGCCCCAGGCATGGGGGCTGGGCAGGTGCGGAGCCGGCAGG